GACGTGTGCTCTTCCGATCTCCCCAAAACCCCAAAACCCCATATGTATAAAATCTTAAAGTTAGAGAGCGTTGAAGAATAAAATCAAAGAAAGTATAATAATCGCAATCGTAATGATTAATGATGGGAAAGAATAATAGTAGATTATACCTACGCCACAGATAAACGATGATTTTACTGTCGAGGAGAGTAAAGAGGTTAACTAAATGAAACTTCAGAGTTTCAAGATAAATACAATTTACCAAATAAGGCGGCTATCTCAGACTGAAACCTTTAAAAGGGTAAGATAGAAAAGACATCTTAACAATTTCTTAGCGAGCAAAGTTTATTTGCTCACTTATCATCGATATTCTAGTAGTGACCTATCTATTTACTTATTCAATAATCCTCATCACTGATGTTTAGTAGCAAAACAGTTTTATAAAGTGGATTAACTTAGGAGTTGCAACTTTCTTTAGAGTTGCAGTTATAGGAATTAGGATAGTATTTGAATATATTGTGGAGCGAGTGAGTTGAAGCTCAATATATGCTTTCCTTGGAGCCATATCATTTATTTTCAGTGCTCATATTATGCCTAGAAATGATTTAAATTTGCTCATTGTAATAGCTGTAGATCTTGGCTTGATTATCATACTATTAGTATATGCAATACTTATCAAGTGCCTATCAAGGAGACAAAACATTACTCTTAGATGCAAAAAGGTTTTTGAGATTATTGCCCTAGTCTTATTCATATTGTACGCTTTGTTCATCACTTCAGTAGCCTTCTTAAATAACGTCCAAAGATAGATAAATTAGATAGACTACGCATCATCTCTCTTTTATACGGAATGTCTAGTTGGACTACTCTACATTATGATGTTTGGAATCACACGACTTGTGAGAAATGGACACTGTAATTGTCTAAAAAATTGTTGTTGCTGCTGCTGACTATGAATTTACAATTAAGAGCATGATACAGTAATGCATCAATCAATCTTAATTAAGATGTAGTGAATATTTATAAGCAAGTGTCCTATAAAATTAACTGTTTATACGATTTATAATCATCATCTAAATGATGACTAAGCACTAATTTTGTTATAAATATTGAACTGCTTTCCCTTTGAATGTTCGTTTTCAATGTTAACAAATATTTTTAAAAATGAAAAAAATAATGATGTATTATCAAAATCACAATTTGCATGAGAACTAGCAGGAAGATTCTAATTCTGACTATGTTGCAAATGATGATTTAGAATCTAATCTTGATAGTTAGAGTAATAATAAATTCTATTATGAAAAAGATGAGAATGAATAGGAATAGCTGCAGCAATGAGATTAAATAATTTCAAATGAGAGGAAGGGATCTGCAACTTTCATAGTTAAAAGTGAAATGAATAAAAATCAATCTACTATACATCAAGTCATGTATAATCAAGAATAAATGGCTAGGTATAACTAAGAGCAGACATTTTGAAAGAACTCAACATAAGTATAGAACATTTATGAGCAGAAGGATAAATTGTTATCTCAAAATACAAATTAAAATCCAACCGAAAGCAGCCAAAAGTATTTTGATTCCACTTAAAGCAAATTACCTGAACCTTAAAATTATGAAAAACTAAAAGATGAACTGAATGACATCAAACGGACTCTGGAAAAGTTGGAAACTAATAATAAATTCATTCAGGCTAAAAGAAATATTGCTTCTGCCAAAACTACTTAAGGAATGCATCAAATGAAACCATATAGCTTGATATCAGATAGCGAAAGCTTTAATAGTCATGCAATTAATCCTAATTGCACTCAATTTAAGAAAATAGAATTTTCAGATTAAGAGTCTGAATACTTTTCTAAATTCTCAACTAAATCAAGATCAGCGATGAGAGCACCTTCTGCATACAGGCTTAAAGTATCTTAAGGCTCCCAAATTTCTTTCAATACAAATTCTACTAATCGACAAATTCTCAATAATCTAAAGAAACTTATTTCTAAGAAGAACGGAGCTCCTTACATATAAAACATTTTATAGTAAAAATTATCTACAAGCAGCAAATCCCAAAGACCTTGAAGTAATTAAAATGGGAAATCACCTACTAAAACGTATTTTCAAATGAATGAAGATTACAATGACATAAACATGATCAACTATAAGTAATACAAGACTAACAACAAGGAATAATCATACATTCATGTATAAGATGGCGAGGGTACACTCATTTCACCCGATAATTTGATGCAATACAAAGGACAATTTAAAAATGGTAAAAAACATGGCAAAGGAGAACTGATATAAATTTTAGATGCTTTAGGAAATCATAAAGCAATAATTAAAGGAAATTGGAAAAATGGGTTTCTAAGCGGCAAGGCATTAATATTTTTAACCAACCAATTGAATTAATTTATTCCAAATTAGACTCAACCAATATAGTTGAAGTATTAAGATAGTTTTGAAGGACTGTTTAAAAAAGGTTAAGCAAGTGGTTATGGAATTTTAAAATTTTCTAATGGTGATTCTTACCAAGGATCATTTAAGAAGTGTCTAAAAGATGGAAATGTAAAATTAGCTTAAAATATTATTATTATATATAGGGTAAATATGTGAGTGTAATTGAACAAAACAATCAATATAGGGTTTAAGGAGAATTCGTGGAAAATCATATTGAGGGGTCATGCGTGATTCAGTACCTTAATGGCCATACTTATCAAGGGACAGTATTTTGCAATTCTATTTCAGGCTTGGGGCAGTTATAATTCAAAAATGGAATTAATTATGAGGGAAATTTCCATTCAAATAAGTTTGAAGGTCGAGGGACTCTGAATATTCCTATGCCTTTAAAGCTAATTAAATCTACCTTATCACCTTTGAGTACCTCACCAATGAATAATTCGTTCCAGCCATCAATGACAATAAATACTCAGAATAATGGTGTTCAGATTTTTTATTATAGTGGTGAGTTTAAACAAGGGCTGTTTCATGGTAAAGGAAAAGCAATATGGCCTTAGAATGAGAACTAGAAGTACTTACTTTAGTATGAAGGATTCTTTCAGAATAGCAAAATTGATGGAGGGAAAGGAACATTCTATTTTGGACCTAATTTAATCCATGGCTTTTTTAAAGAAAATAAGTTAGCTGGCTAAGCCTATAAGAGATAAAATATTGATGATAAACTTTAAGTCATATATAAGGGTGAGTTGACAGTAGACACTCAACTCATGGATGGATTCGGTGAACTGATATGGGTCAATCTGAAACATAAGAATTAATATATAGGAGAAATACATAATGACAAAATTTAAGGGCAAGGTTAATTATCATTTCAGGATTAGTACGGAGGAATGGCTTAATACTTTGGTGGTATGCGAGATAATCTATTCTATGGAAAAGGGGAATTGACATTTTCAAACGGAGATAGATATGTAGGCAATTTTCAAAATGGCCATTTCGAGGGAAGTGGTTCTCTGACATTTATGAATGATTAAATGGTCTATCAAGGATTCTTCCTAAATGGATGCTTTCACGGCAGAAGTACTTTAAAAGTTTAAAACTAATTCATTATCAACGGATTATTCCTTAATGGTTAGATAGATTGCAACTCTAATGTTCTAATCAATTTCACTAATGGTGATTCATATTCTGGTAGAGTAGATCATAACTATCATTTTAATGGTATGGGAGTGTATAGAAATTTGGCAGAGAGCTACAAATTAATTGGTACTTTTAAGGAGGGAGTACCTCATTCTTATTGCAAAAAGGTTTTTCATTAGATTGGAAATCCTCTAAAAATTATTAGGATTTTGTATGGATTTTACAATCAAGCAAAAATAAATGGAAATGCTATTGAATCTATTATTGATAGTGATACAGGGAAAGTTGTTGCTAAGAATAACTAAATGTTTATTAATGGAAAGCTGTAAAAGGGAAACGGGTAGTTTAGAGAAACTTTTGATGAAAATTCTCTGCTAAATGATTTATTCTACGATTCTGTCGAGAGATAATGTGATTTTGAAAATATAAATTGAGAATAATAAATAAAAATATGAATGTAAAACCGAATTTATAACAATTATTTATTTTGCCGATTTTACAATGATTTCAATTAGATGGGGTTTTGGGGTTTTGGGGTTTTGGGG